ATTTCTCCGTGAGTATGTATTGTAGGAAGAGCTGCAGGAGGACAGTCTATGGTCAATCTGGCATTTGGGAAGATAAGAAGACCCTATCAACTCAGGCCTCATTCAAGCAGGGCCTAACAATACCCTGGGAAGACTCAGAATGTAAAGTTCTTTTAGAAATAATTTTGGATTATGTAAGACTGATACAGGAGCAGCCATTTTTTTCTAAAAGGGCAATTTCTCTTATGGATTTGAACTATAGAACTGTGGGGCTCTGGATGACTTTGGTTTGCAGGCAGCAGGTGGCTGGCTGCTTGCTGGTAGATTCTTTAGAATTTTTACTGAATAGTCTCAACAGCAAAACCACTTACAAATATATAAGACATCTCTAAAAAAATTCATCTTCATTTTACTTCTGGCTTTCTCTCAACTATGTGTGCAGAATACCTTCTATACAAATCATAATTCTATACACTTGGTTGATTAAAAAATTTAAACTTACTTTGAACTAACTAAATACTGACAGAGTTATAACAAATGATACAAGGTCATTTCTTGTGCCCATTTTCTTCTTACCCTCACATTTTAAACCTGATAAGTCATTTCTCTCTATGATCTCTTCATCTCAAGAATGTTACCTCAATGAAATTGTATATATGTAATCTTTGGAATTGGTTTTTTTCAAATATCTGGAAACTCATCTAGGCTAGACCATGTATCCTAATGTGCATCTTTTTATTAATGAATAATGTTTTCTTGTATAAGTATATCATAGTTTGTATAAATCATTCATCTATTGAATGATACTTGGGTTGTTTCTAGTTTGAGGCAATGATGATTCAATTACAACTATTCGTGTATAGATTGTGTGTGTGTGTGTGTGTGTGTGTGTGTGTGCGCACGTGCACATGTATGCCATACTGGGTCTTTAACTCAGGGCCTCGTGCTCACCCTTAGCTTTTCCACTCAAAGCTGGTTCTCTGCCACTTAGCTATGGATCCATTTCTGACTTTTTGTGATTAATTAGAAGTAAAAGTTTCATTGACTTTTCTATCTGGGCTAGCTTCGAACTACAGTCCTCAGATCTCAGCTTTCTGAGTACCTAGGATTATAACTGTGAGCCATCAGTACCTGGCCATGCACAGATTTTTATGCGAGCTTAAAGTTATTATTTTCTTGGAATAAATCTGTAGGAGTTGGATTGCTAGGTTGTATGTCATTATGCATTCACTGCAATCAATCATCAAATGCTTTCAGAGTGGCTGTACATTCATACTATCAATACATGATCAGTCGAGTCTGTCCTGTTTCCCACTGGCATTTGGTATTTATTGTTACTATTTTTGAAAATTTTAGTCATTATGATACATGTATTATAATATCTCACTGTATTTTTTTATTTAACAGTACTTGGGGTTAAACTCAGGGACTCTCCTTTGCAATATACCATTTGATCTGTGTTTCCAGTGCTCGTTGTGATTTTGTTTGTTTAGTGATTATTGTTGTTTCACATATTGTTTATGTGTTCACTTGCTATCTATCCTTTTGAGTTAAATGTTTGTACATGACTTTTACTCATTTTTAATTGTCTTTTTCTTGTTTTATGCTATATTACATACTATGCACCCAATACTGTTTCTTTGTTGAATATGTAGCATGTAAGTAATTCCTCTCAGACATAGTTTATCTTGTCATTCTTTTAAGATTTGTGCAGAGGGAGAGTTTTAACTTCAGTTGTTAGATTTTCCTTTTATGGGTGTTTCTTTCAAATCTAAGAACACCTTGCCTAGCCCTAGAGTCTAAAGATTTTTCTCCTCTTTTTTTTCTAAAACTTTTAGGGCTTTACATTTAAATTTACAACCTATTTTGAGGCATTTTTAAAATCTATTATTTTTTAAATCAGAGTGAATTAGTTGTACCTGGGGGTTTCATTTTGACACGTCCATATATACATACAATGTGCCTTGATCAAATCACTCCTCTGACATTTCCTCATCCTTCTCCCCTTCTTCCAAAACGAATCTGAACAAGCTACATGGCTCCATTAGGTCAAGCATTTTAGGCCTAAAGGTGTCTACTTGCTCTAGCACTTAAAAAAAAATACTGTCTTTTGCACCACTCTCAAAAACCATTTGAAGCTGACACAGGTTAGCTACTTGCAGGCTGAAATCTTGAGATTTGGAGGACTGAAGTTCAAAATCAATTTGGGCCAAAGTCTGCAATACTCCATCAAAAAGTAGTATAGCAAAAAAGTAGTATAGACAGCAAATAGTAGTAGTGGAGGTATGGCTCAAGTGATAGAGCTCCAGCTGAGCAAGAAAGCTGAACAAGTGAACAGTTTTGAGTTCAAAACCCAGTACTACCAAAAATAACAGTTGGATATAGTTGTATGAGTCTATTTGTGCATTTTCAGTTCTGCTTTACTAATCGATGTGCCCATTCTACTCTTACTATCACACTGTCTTAATTACTATTGAAATATGTTGTCTTGAAATCAGCTCTACTAGCCGGGCGCTGGTGGCTCACGCCTGTAATCCTAGATATTCAGGAGGCTGAGATCTGAGGATCGCGGTTCAAAGCCAGCCCGGGCAGGAAAGTCCGTGAAACTCTTATCTCCAATAAACCACCAGAAAACCGGATGTGGTGCTGTAGCTTACGTGGTAGAGTGCTAGCCTTGAGCTGAATCGCTTAGGGACAGTGCCCAGGCCCAGAGTTCAAGCCCCGCGACCAACAACAACAACAACAAAAAAAAAAAAAAGAAAGAAAGAAATCAGCTCCACTGATTCTTCTCACTTTTTGTTTTTAACAGTTTCAGGGGGGTATAATTGATACATAAAAAACTTAAAAGCAAAATGAAAATAAATTAAAACAGCAAAAAAACCCTGTAAATGTTTAATATATATAATTTAATTAACTGAAACCTTTTCATTATTCTTATTCAAAATTGCTTTGGCTGTTCTAGTTCTTTGCTTTGTCTTCAGCTTCAAGTCTTGGAACAAAAAGAAAACCCAGGGAACTCACTCCTGTATCATTCATGCCTTGCTGATTTACTTTCTTTTCTCACCTTCTAGTGTTTTACAGTGGCTTTATAGAAAATGTCCAAGGCTTTTGGTTATTCTGTTAGACTATCTTTTCAGAAGTTGAGCCCCACTCAGTTGATTTTATTTTATTTGCTCTATTATTATTATTAATTTATAGTAGTGGGGATCAAACTTAGATGCTCATGCTTGCTAGGCAAGCACTTTACTGGGCTGTAGGCTTGTAGGCTGAGCTGGACCCCAGCCCTTGTTCGATTTGTTCTTAAGAATCTATTATTCTTTTTTTTGCCTGAGGACTCAGGACCTAAGCTTTCTTAATCACACTTCTATAAGTGTCTTTTCATGGGGCAGAAAGATGAAATGCCAAGCTAAGAAAAGCTGTGTGCATTGGTTGGAAAGGTGGAGGCTTTTGTTCCAAGGATACACACAAGGTGAGCATTGGGCATTTCTAGTTTTCCTTTTCTACTTTAAAAGCTTGCGACAACTAGAGAGAATACAACAACACTTGTATTTATTAAAGGATTATCAATCTCTAGAGGTAAAAGGAAGGTCCCACGATATAATAGAGGGTCAGTGCACAGTGTCCCTTCCATCTTGGCCTGTTCTCAGAAGCCCACTATTTTGCCTTTGACTATTAATAATCAAATGGTGAAGGCTATATTGATACTCTCTGATAGCCAGCCTTCTCTGGACTTCTTCCTGCACTTAATATGCTTCCTTAAAAGCCTAGGTTACCCAGGGAAATACAGCCAAGATAAGGAATATCATGGTTGTGAACCTAGATAGGATTGAGCTTGAGATCTTGACTCTGTCTCTTCCTACTTCTTTGTCCTTGGAATCTATTTATTCCAATCTAAACCATCCTGTAGGACTGAGCTGGTGACATGTATTGGGGACCTTTCATTACTCTCCTTCCTTCTCTTTCTAATCAGCACTGAGTCTAACAGGTGGCTGGCTTTCTTTAAAACCTATGTGCAAAATTAGTCTGCTTTTTTTCCCCCCATCACCCCATCTTTTCTCTAGGTTGTTCTAGACATCTGGGAACTATTCTTTTCTTAAAACATGGCCCCAATTTATTATTTCTGTGGTAGGCCAGGTGAACTTTTAAAACCTATGCTTCTAATTATTGTTTCCTTGCATAAGACCCTCCACTTACTGTACTGAGAATAAAATCCAACACCTCCCCATGATCCACCTGGGACAAGGGGGTGTGTCTTCTGCTTTCTTCTGGGAACCCCTCAAATGTGTCCTCAGCTACCTCAGTGCACCTCATTCACACTGACCTTCTTTCTTTTCTGAAAATATAGTCTGCTCCCCCCCTGAGGTCATTATACCAATGATACTGTGTGCCAAGAATAATTTTTCCATGATTTTGAAAAGCTTGTTCTTTGTTATCATTTGGATTTCAGGCAAGGACTCTTCCATTGCTCCTGCTCAGTCACACAGATGAATCACTCTATTCTCCCATTTCTCCAGCCTCTTAATGGAGCTTTTAGCACAATTTGAAATGACCCTTGATTGGTCTATGAGACTGAGCTTCTCGAGAGCAGGTTCCATATTTTTCTGATTGCTATATATCCAGGGCCCTCAACAGTTCCTGGTGCGAAGTAATAAGTATTTATTGAATAAAATAACTTAATTCTCCTGAACCTCAGTTTCTTGTCTTTAATTTATAATAATTGGCTAAAAAAGAATAATGTGTTTAGAATGAAGTGAGATAACACATGCATGTGAAGTATTTAAAACTCAGTTTGCCTCACAGTAAGCCAAACAATTGTTTGCCATTGTTTCAGTAGGACTATTTCTGTTACCATGTTCACTCATGTTCACTTATACTTCTCCAGCACCTGTTATTATAGCTAATGATCCACATAAAGTATTGTCAGTGTTTGTGAATGATAATATGCCAATTGGTTAGATGTTTACAATTAAATTCTAACTTTGCAATTAAATTCTAACTCTTGGCCATGTTTTTCTGTACAGGTCCTGCAGCTGGGCTCAGACATCCTTCCTCAATACAAGCAAGAGGCACCAAAGACTCCTCCTCATATCATTTTACATTACTGTGTTTTTAAGACCACGTGGGATTGGATCATCTTGATCTTGACCTTCTACACCGCCATCTTGGTCCCTTACAATGTCTCCTTTAAAACCAGGCAGAACAACGTAGCCTGGCTGGTTGTGGATAGCATAGTGGATGTAATATTTTTGGTAGACATTGTGCTGAATTTTCATACTACCTTTGTTGGACCAGCAGGGGAGGTGATATCTGACCCTAAGCTTATCCGCATGAACTACCTGAAGACATGGTTTGTGATTGACCTTCTGTCCTGTTTGCCCTATGACGTCATCAACGCTTTTGAGAACGTGGATGAGGTTAGTGCCTTTATGGGTGATCCAGGGAAGATTGGTTTTGCTGATCAGATTCCACCACCTCTGGAGGGGAGAGAGAGTCAGGTACATCCCTCAAATCTCAGACCTTGTTGTCATGTTTTTAAAGCTAAATTCAATGTGGGTGGTCCACTGAAGAGTAATGAAATTGGCAAGAAGTAGCATGATTGCGGGAGCATGCTTGACAGGTATCCTCTGCCTGCTGTCTGTCCTTTGGGGGCTTGGGGGTCCTGCATGTCAGTGAACGGATGTGGAAGAGACCAAAGGCTTACTTACTCATCTTCTATATGGAGTGTAAGCCGCTGGCTCTGGGGAGGTGGGGCTGCAGAAGCAGCCATGCATGGCCATTGCACTGGTGAATCTTCCATTTGCCATTCAGTTGCTGAATGTCTGCCTATTGATTATTATAATTATGGGGCCTTTCATTTGCTGCAGACCTTTGGCTATTTCATGGGCAATTAAGTTGTGGGAATACTCTCACATTTCCTGTTTGCTTGTTTGTTTTGGTAAATATCATAATGAGATATTTCTGTGCTAAAATGAGTTTCAGAGGTGACCATTTTCTGAGAGTAGTCTGATACTTACTGTGGTTAAGAGGAGACAGGTTTTTCTGATTACACTGCTTTGGATTGTTAGTCTTGCAGGCAACAGAAGGAATTAAAAGAAGATAAATGTTCTGTAACAGTCTGAATGGGTACCTGGGGAATAGTTGTAGCTAGAAGGGGACATTACAGTGGTAAGGAATGAACATCTTTGAAAAAGCAAAGGTGTCAAGTTATTGCAAAGAAAGATGTCAGATCCTTATCTAGTTTACATTCTCTGCAAGTCACTCTTCCTTTTTTTTTCTATTCCTACTTGATACTTCAGATAGATTAAGATTGATCAGCTTTCAACCTTGTTCAGCAGTGGGCCCTCGTTGCTTCAGATTACAAGGGGTTCCAAGGATTAACTGGCTGGATATCTAGGCAGCTATCTGGAGACTGAGTCGAGGCAAGGCACATCCTCAGGACTGAAGAGCTTCTGAGACTCAGCCTTGAGACAGTTGGAAGGGACACTGCTCCTAGCTAGAATATGAAGGTGTGACCAATGACAATGTCCTACTAGGGGGCATACTGGTGCCTCTCTGTCTTCAGATTAATATGAGCAGTCATTGAAGACTTCAGACCCTTCCTCTTAGAGAACTGAACAATGGACCACCTCTTTCTCCAGCCATTAGTAGCTCTTCCTACAAAAAGTTACTAAATACAGAGCACGGAGAAGAGAATTTGTATTCTCAGATGCTCTAGATTCACACCAACCCCTGCTTTTATCTGTGTGATATGTTTGTGCTTTAATATGCTTTCAAATACCAATGACTAATTCTCAAGGTGGCCTGTGTAGACTTTGTGCAGGGATTAAATAAGTAACTACCAGTTATTTACGGCAGCAGAAATATCTCTAAAGAAATGCTGGGATTCTTAAATGTGAATTTTGGTACGTGTTGGAAATGATATTCTTTCACATTTCTTGAAAATTTTATGTGATTTAGTAAGGGAAAAATGGTCACTTTTTTGTTTAGGTTATTCAAATGAATATCTCCAGTTATAAAAGATTCTAATAATCACATGGGGAATGGAAATTAACACAAAAAGTAAACCACTTGAGTTTGTGAAATAACCCATTTGATGTTTGTAGCAATCCCACCGAATTTTTTTCAGATAATAGATCCATGGTTTCTCATTAAACATTGGCAAAGGTGAGCATGAAAGCTCAGACTTAGAAAATAGAGGCGAGAGTATTATGACCAGCCTGGGCTACAAAGCAAGTTCTAGAACAGCGTAGGTTATATAACAAGACCTTGCCTCAAAAAATAAAACCAAGCTGGGTGTTGGTGGCTCATGCCTATAATCCTAGCTACTTAGGAGGCTGGATCTGAAGATCAAAGTTTGAAGCCAGCTCATGGAGGAAAGCCTGTGAGACTCCTATTTCCAATTAAGCACCAAAAAATGCTCAGGTGCAGCACCCATGCTCTGAGTTCAAGCTGTAAGACCAGCACAAAAAACCCAAACCAAAAGACAAAACAATAAACAGAAAAGGCAGAGCTATAAACACATATGCAATGTGTCTAAATGACCTGGTAGCTTAGGAGAGCAGAGAGCTTGTCTCCAGGGACTATGTGTGTTGGGTTAGGACTTCTGTAATTGGGAGTAACCCTGATTTCTAGATTGATGAAATAGATTGGCATCATGAAAAGTGTCATTATCTGTAAACTTGTTTAAAAAGCATTTATTATCAGTTCATAAATAATTATGTTAACTATTTAGAGGTCCCAGCCTCCAGTTGGCTTTGGTAAAGACTTTATTTAACATCTAGTAATTTCTTTTATCATTTTGTACGTTATCAATTAGCGTCTTCTGTACTAATTGAGGTGATGTAGAGGTAGAACATCAGTGTGAAGAATTGAGAAATTTGGTTTCTAGAAGTCCTGGTATCACTCATTAGGAGAACCGGGGCTCTAGAGCAAGTATTGAGATCAGAAGCTTATTGTAAAACTCCTGACCTCCTACCTGGAATGGGTTAAGAGGAGATTGAGGTGATAAGTTGACCTACTGAAGGTCAGAGCTGGATAGGACCCCCAAGGTCTTCTAATTCGACCTTCTTAGCTCACGGATGAGAAAACAGATACTGAGGAGACTTGACGCACCCAAGAGCTCTTAACAAAGTGTTTGATCACAGTCCAAAGAGTACACTCTGGCTTTCTTCTACCAGTTATGATATACTTGATGAAATAGGAGCAAAACGCTTGTGGAAGTAAGTCCACACTGACCAGGAAGCTTCTAATGTGTGTGCCCCATTCCTTGGCTTGGCTAACTGTGGTGAGGGAGCTGGGTGCTGGATATGGCAGTGGGGAAAAGTGTTGTGGTGATGAGATAGACCATAGGAGATGCTTGATGAGTCTCAGACAACTAGGGCCAATCCTTCAATGAAAAGGAAGCATTAAATTAGGAAGATTGACGGTCTAGTAGGGGTTAGAGAAGTTTGGGAAGGCCATGAGTGTTCCTCCATCTATTAAAGCTGATTTTGGCTTGGGAAAAGCCTGGGAAAAATCCCCTGGGTAGAGTTCTGATTTATTGCTTAGTAGGTTCATACTTACCACTTGTTCTCTTCTAACCCTGGATAAAAATTGTATACTACTAATATAAGCTTGTAGCTCCTTCTGCTCAATATTTTTTTTCCTAGGAGAGTGTGCGGTGGGGTGGGGAGAGGAAATTATTGACTCATTTCTCATAAAAACACACAGAGCTTAATTGTCTCTCATGTCCCCAATCATGCCAATGAACCGTGAGACAGTGGAGACCACCAAAGAACAAGGGACAGAGCAGGGTGGCCTTGCCATTGTGTGTGTGTGTGTGCGTGCGTGCGTGCGTGCATGCACGCGCGTACTTGTGCTTATGTGTGCACGTGCCTGTGCACATGAGGTGGATGAAAAGATTGGACCTATCTAGGCTTGAGTTCACAAAAGACTTGGTTAAATTGCCACTGCCTGCCATCATGAATTCAGCCTTGTGGATATCGCTTGTCTCCATGATTTAAGCCACACAAACGATCCTTTGGCTTGACTTGTTTCACTTATGTAGATGGGCCTCCATTTGCGTCATTCTCCAGTCTGTTGGTAATAATCTGTTTTGGAGGCTGTTTGGGAATATATTTTCTCATCGCTTACACTGGTTGGAAGACAAAAGTCCTGGAAACCAAGTGGACTGAAACTTGGAATGGGTACATTGAAGCAGAAGCCAAACGAGTCTCTTCAGTGGACTGCTGGCCTAGTGTGCTTTGTTAATTGAAGATGGAATTGTTATTGACAAAACATTTACTTTCCCAAGGCAACCTTATCAGTTATTGCTATTAGAGTGTATAAGTACAAAAGGGAGAATGGGGACAATTGTAATATCTTCTGGGTCACAATTCTGTTGCACTGGAACCAGAAGGTGGCCAAGAGCTTCTTCTATACCCAGCTCTGCAATCCCAGATAGCAGTATAATTAGCCAGTGCTGTAACAAACTGACACTTGCCAACATCCCTCTATTGTGGAGGATGGTAAGGATCAAGGCCTGCTCCTGGAAGGAATACCCCACAGCAGCACTGAAAGCGTGGTGATTTGTCACTTAACAGCTGTATCTCTGTGCCTGTCACTCCATCTTCCTTGGACTTGGTGTGTTTTACCTGTATGATGAGACTACCTCGAGCTCTAGCCTTCTGTAATTCTAAAGCAGGTGTTGTTTTTATGTGTAGAGGAGAAAAAAGGGGTAGTTTGGCTTGGCAGCAGCCATCTTGAAGTGTCGAAAGTGGCCTCTGGTCTTCTGACTTCTAGTCCTGTGGATTTTTGTTTCTTATTTCTGCCACTTTAACCTGCCTCACCAGAGTTCCTGATGGCCTAGGGAACCACGCTATGCATGTCAGACCCTGGGCCCCTGGTTACCTCTTCTCATTGTAAGTCACCATTTCCTGAAGCTGTGCCAGATCAGCTTCCCACTGTTAAAAATATAAGCTGATGTTAAGCGAAATGAACTCCAAGACATGGATACAAGAAATTTTTCTTTGTGTTGTTGTTTTTAATGTACTATGTATTTTTTTTGTTTCTTTTGTATGTTCTTCCCCCTGTGGTATATCCTCTGTTGTCACTGTATTTGATTTGGGTACCATGTATGGTATATATGTTTATTTGAATGAGGGGGGAGAATGGGAACAACAAAACAGTGAGACCAAGGACAAGGAGGGAACCAGTGCAACAGCGACATACACAGACAAATGTATTGGAAAGGATCTGTACAACTTGTGGAGGGGGATGGAGGGGAGGGAAAGTAGGAGAAAAATGAGGGAAGAGGTAACAAGTTTGACAAGAAATGTACTTATTACCTTACTTATGTAACTATAACCCTTCTGTACATCACCTTGACAATAGAAAAAATGCTCCCTGACTCTCAGTCACTCCCTGTTAACCCCCGAGTCCAATCACAACTCAAGTCCTATATAGGCCACAGTACCTCTGATGCTTGAGCCTCTGCGTAAACTAGAGGCTTGTTTGC